GTACAGCAGTGTATATGTTTAGAGATGCGATGTGTGTGTGTGTGTTGACGTGTGTGTGTTGACGTGTGTGTGTGTGTGTGTGTGTTACGTGCCTATAAGGTAATTGTGCACCCACTCCATGACTATTGTTGTTGTTGGTTCTCTGCATGCGGAGAGATGACAAACGTGTTGACACCCATGAAGGATGAATCTATTTCAATGATTACACTACTGCTACACCTACTGTGTGTAGTAAAAACAACGATTTTAATTAAATATATAGTGAAAACAATAATCATCATGTTGACTTGATAAATAAATACACTTGGATGTGATTTCAGTCTGTAGCTCTGGTTTGTGTGTGTGTGTGTGTGGTGTGTGTGTGTGTGTGAGTGTGTGTGTGTGTGTGTGAGTGGGTGTGTGTGTGTGTGTGTGTGAGTGGTGTGTGTGTGGTGTGTGTGTTAGTCGTGTGGGTGTGTGTGTGTGAGTGTGTGTGTGTATGTGTGTGGGAGTGTGTGTGTGTGTGTGTGTGTAAGTGTGTGTGTTTGTGTGTGTGTGAGTGTGTGTGTGTGTGTGTGTGTGTGAGTGAGTGTGTCTGTGTGTGAGTGTGTGTGTGTGAGTGTGTGTGTGTGTTTTAATAGTCTTTTGAACCTCAACATGTATTCCGTCTCTGGTTCTGTCTGTGTGTAGGACTCCAAGGCTTTGTCTAAAAGCCTCAGAAAGTCTTCAGCAGCAACCACTATTAACGCTTCACTCATCATCAATGTCACGGTTCACTCCCCTTGTTGGATAGAAGAAACCCCACCTCCCTGTATAGGAGAACAGACTGTATCTCACACTATGGATTTTAGTTTTACAATCCAAGGGAAAAGACACAAATTGCTTCTCTTTTGTGGAACACTGTTTTGTTTCTCTATCACAGTGAGTGGTGAGGAATCCCTATAGCGTTCTGGAGAGGAAGTGCAGGGGTTTGGGGTCATTTGGGGTTGGGGTGCTATCAAGGTGGTGTGTGGTGGTGTTGTGTGTGGTGTGCGAACTTGCGTCTGTGTGGTCATTCAGAGGTTTGTCGTGTGTGTGGTGTCATGTGTACTGCTCGGTGACAGAGAGGCTGTGGTCATGTGGAGTGGTGCCACTCCTGTCAAGCGAAGTACGGGGAAACAGAGAAAGGAAGAAAGATGGGAGGGAAGGAAGGAAGGAAGAGAAGAGAAGAAGCGAAAGAAGAGGAAGCCATCAGTACTGAATAGTAAATCATAATGAGCCTAGTATCATCCTCCTAAGATCTTAATATTGATTATCCTATCTCTATACCTATCCTATCTCCTCTCCTCTCCTCTCCTCCTCTTTCCTCTCTCTCTCCTCTTCCTCCTCCCTCCTCCTCCTCATCTAACTTCATTAAAGGCTGAGAGGCCGCCTGCTTCATGAAGGAGCCTGGTCACGCTGCCTGGCCCTACCTCTCTCGCTGACTGGCTGACAAAATACTTCATACATGAAATCTCTCATTTCCTGTCCTGGAGTGTGAATAATAGAATCATTTGACACAGCAGATAGGTGCCACACAGCTGGTTCGCCGCATGGAGAAGGAGGTTTTCTCGACTCAGAACTATAAGAACTAGAGGAGACTGGTGATTGAAGTGGAGTAAAGATTTGGGGCTGAAACCGTTTATTAAAAGCCCCTTGTTGTTGTTATGAGACGGTCTCTTTGGCTGTGGTGGAGCAGGGGGTGTTGGGTAGAGTGAGTCCAACAGACATGTTGAGGTACGCCTATCTCATTTTAATTGTTTCACCCTGAAACTTTTTAGTTCTTGATCTATTGTAATGGTTCATCTATGTTAGGGTTTCCCAAACTCATCATCAAGCTTTGATTATTTTAATCAGTTGTATAGTGCTAGGGCAAAAACGTGCACCCAGGGAGGCCCCAGGACCGAGTTTGGGAAACCCTGCTCTATGTAATGGGTGGGGGTAATTTAATAGCTACGTGTCACCGATCGTAAAGATTTGCCATCAAATCCTAGAAACTAGCGTTGAACCTGTAACAACATCACCAATAGAGTCGTATTAGTGCCTGTGAGGTCTGCATCCTCTGGACAAAGACTGCTGTATTTGTGTGACTCCTCCCCCATGTCTGGTCTACTGTGGTCAGTCCTACATTTACCTAAATCACCCCTGCACTGAGTCTGAACCCATTAATGCATGGCCCGTCTCAACACACTGTCTGGTGGGGTTGGTGTTGAGAGGGGTTTTAGGGGGGGGGAAAGGAGTGGTGGGGGCAAGAGTGAGTGTGTGTGTGTTTTTTTGTGTGTTTGTTTGCATGTGACTGGGTATAACTGCATGTGTGTGTGTGTGTTCGTGCGTGAGTGCGCGCATTTGTGTACGTGTGTGTGTGTGTGTTTGCAGGGGGATATCAGGAGGTGCATTGTACCCCCAACCCCCACCCACCCACACACACACACACACACACACACACACACACAGTAATTGAATATGCTCGTCCCAGAATCCCTTATTAGGGACAATGGTGGAGAAATGGGCAGCATGGTGAGGCACAGAGGCAGAGCAGAGTGCTCTTTTCAGAGGTAAGTGGGGAGCTGAAGGACAGCCGGTGAAAAATCCCCCTGCCTCTCATGTGGCATGCTCCACAAGCCTCAAGAGACCATTGTATTAGTGAGAGAGAGAGAGAGAGAGAGAGAGGAGAGAGAGAGAGAGAGAGAGAGAGAGAGAGAGAGAGAGAGAGAGAGAGAGAGAGAGAGAGAGAGAGAGAGCTGCACACACACTCACAGACACAATGTGCAACACACACACACAAACACACACACACACACACAACACACACAAACACACAAACACACAAAAAAAGAGAGAGAGAGGAAAGAGGAGAGAGATGACCCTTCAGGAGCAGCTTCCCCCCCACCTCTCTTCCTTTCCTCTCTTCCCTTCTTCCACCTCATTGACTGATGTAACAGAAGGAGAGGCGCTGCACGGGAGAAAAAAAGAGATTGACGCAAGAACGCAGCCCACGTCAGGAAAGCAAATAAACACCTTCCTAAGCTCCGTCATTCTGGAGCCCTGTGTCTGTGTGTGTGTGTGTGTGTATTGTCAGTGTGAGGTTTCCTAACATTGTTTAACAAGCAGCCCTGAGCCATATAGCAGGTTAATATAGGTTGACGTTTGAAATCTGTCAGCATCTCCTTCACATAATTGGTTGTCAAGAATATATGAATGTAAAGACGGACCAATGCAATACTTAGCACAGTAATTATATTTTCAAACAAAGTACTTTTAAAATCATGTTTTTAAAATGATCTGGAAAGAGATGTTTTAAAATATTAAGCCCCTTTTAAAAAAGGGTTTGTGGAACTCAAAGCCCTGGTCACGTTCATTAGGGCAGCAACTAAAACTTTTTTAAAAAAGTTGCCCCTTTCGTTACAGAGGGGAGGGCCAAAGGCGCAGCGTGATAGGTACTTTTATTAAATTAAAAACCCAAAGACAAAAAAAACAAACAAAAAAAGAAACGACAGGGCCGGGCCGGGCGGGAAAACGCCCACTGGGTTGGTGCGGGGGCAGGGAAAAGGCCCGGGGCCGGGGTGGGCGCCGCACCCCTGGCTTTTTTGAGAGCAAAAAAGGCCGGGCCGGGCTGGGGACCGCACCTGGTTGGGGCGAGGGGCGGACAGGGCCGGATCGGCTGGGGACCCCACCACTGGCTTGGTAGGGGCGGAAACCCCGGGTGGCACGCGCACCCTGGCTTGGGGGCGAGGAGCAGGAAACCGGGGGGTGGCACGCGCCCCCCGGCTTTGGGGCAGGGGCGGAACAGGCGTGGGCTGGGACGCGCACCACTGGGTTGGTTTTCGGGGGCGGAAAAGGCCGGGCCTGGGAGCCCCAAAATGGCGGGCAGGGGGGAAAAAAGGCCGGGTCGGGGTTGGGGCGCGCACCACTTTTTTGCGGGGGGCAGGACACCGGGGCCCGGGGTGGCGACCCCCACTGGGCATGGGGCACGGAACAGGCCCATCGGGCTTTCCGCGCACCACTGGCTTGGTGCGAGGGCAGGAACAGCCGGCCGGGCGGCGACGCCACCCCTGGATGGGTCAGGGGAGGAAAAAGGGTGGGGCCGGTGGGGATGCGCACCCCGGTTGGTTCAGGGGCAGAACGGGCCGGGGTGGCGACGCGCACCACCCCTTGGTGCAGGGAAGGAACGGGCCGGACCCGGGCTGGCGCCGACCATTGCTTGGGCAGGGGCGGGGACTGGGTTCCTTTATTAACCCCCCTCCTTCTGCTGCCCAACCAGCTCCTCTGCCGTGCCCCCCACACTTTCCTTCTCCCGTTTAGCCTCCTGTAGCCTCGTCATCCACCCCGTGTGCACCCCCCCCCAAAATGTTCTTGGGGTTGCCTCTCTGGGTCTCCCGTCGTCGGCACTCCTCTTCCGTGAGGACTCCGTTCGGGAGCCCCCACGAGTTAGGGAACAGAACCTGATCGTCGTCGTCATCCTCCGACTCCTCAGTATAATACTGTTTTCCCACTCCTCTTCCCATGGTCGTAGGACCCAATCTGGAAAACCAACCGTGTGCAGTGGTCGGGGCTCCTCTCTTCGCTCCCCGACCCACCCCTTTAGTCCCCCCAAAAAAATTATTGGGGCTGTCTCTTGGGCTTCCCTCCTCTAGACGGCATCCCTCTGCGTTGCCGTGCAACCTCTAACCTGCTGGGTATCTACCTTCACCCATGGCCCTTTCCCCGCGAATATCTCTTCCATGACCACAATTTGCCCACCTGGACATGGACCCTATTCGCTCCTCCTGGGCACGCTGCCTTGGTGTCCTCGTTGGTGGGATCTTCTGTCACGTTCGCTTACAGACGGGACGGACCAAGGCGCAGCGTGAATATGCGTACATGTTTATAAAATATTAAACACAACGACAAAATAACAAACACAACGAAACGGGTGAAGTCCAAGGCAGCCACAACAACAACATACCTTAACACGGAACAAGATCCCACAAACCACTAGTGCCAATAGGCTGCCTAAGTATGGTCCCCAATCAGAGACCAACGAGCGACAGCTGCCTCTGATTGGGAACCAACACCGGCCAACATAGATCTAGACGATCTAAGTCAGGGCGTGACAAATGTTTTGCAACAGACAACTAAAATGAGCTTTCTTATTTGATAAGTACAGGTAGCCCCTACCTTTTTCAGTCTGTTTTTTTCCTAATAAGTTCTGACAGGCACAGGAGGTTGGTGACACCTTAATTGGGGAGGAGGGGCTCGTGGTAATGGCTGGAGTGGAATAGGTGGGATGTTATCAAATACATTAAACATGGTTTCCATTCCATTAGCTCCGTTCCAGCCATTATAATGAAGCCGTCCTCCACTCAGCACCTCCACTGCTGACAGGATAGCCGTCACAGGAGACAGCCCTTGACCCAAACCCAGACGATTGCCAATGTCCGGTCTACTGGGTTTAGCTTGGTCAATATGTCCATTCTGTCCCCTGTCCTTCCTGCCTTAGAAAATGTACCAATTAAATAACAGAAGGTCTGAGAGACTTTTACTGGAAGGTTACCAGAAATGTTTCTCAGATCTCCAAAGTGTGTGTGTGAATCATGTAAACTACACGCCCAAAAGTATGTGACACCTGCTCGTCGAACATCTCATTCCAAAATCCATGGGCATTAATAGTGAGTTGGTCGCCCCCTTTGCTGCTATAAACAACATCCACTCTTCTGGGACAGAGCTTTCCACTAGATGTTGGAACATTGCTGCGTGGACTTGTCTTCCATTTAGCCACAAGAGCATTAGTGAGTCGGCACGATGCTGGGCAATTACGTCTGTCTCACAGTCGGCGTTCCAATTCATCCCAAGGTGTTTGATGGGGTTTGAAGGTCAGGGCTCGTAGTGCAGGCCATCAAATTCTTCCACACCGATCTCGACAAAACCATTTTGTGTACGGACCTCGCTTTGTGCACGGGTGCATTGTCATGCTGAAACAGGGAAAGGGCCTTCCCCAAACTGTTGCCACAAAGTTGGAAAGCACAGAAATCGTCCTAGGATGTCATTGTATGCTGTAGTGTTAAGATTTCCCTTTACTGGAACTAAGGGCCCTAGCCCGAACCATGAAAAACAGCCCCAGACCATATTTCCTCCTCCACCAAACTTTACAGTTGGCACTATGCATTGGGGCAGATAGCGTTCTCCTGGCATCTGCCAAACCCAGATTCGTCCGTTGGACTGCCAGATGTTGGAAGCGTGATTCTTCACTCCAGAGAACGCGTTTCCATTGCTCCAGAGTCCAATGGCGGTGAGATTTACACCACTCTCCATCCAGCCGACATTTGGCATTGCCCATGGTGCTCTTAGGCTTGTGTGTGGCTGCTCAGCCATGGAAATCCATTAATGAAGCTCCCGACGAACCAGTTATTGTGCTGACGTTGCTTCCAGAGGCCAGTTTGGATCTCGGTAGTGAGTGTTGTGCAACCGAGGACAGACGATTTTCCACCCTACGCGCTTCATGCACCTCGGCGGTCCAGTTCTGTGAGCTTTGTGTGACTTACCACTTCGCGGCTGAGCCGTTGTGTGCTCCTAGACGTTTCCATTTTACAATAACAGCACTTACAGTTGACCGGGGGCAGCTCATAGCAGGGCAGAAATGTGACAAACTGACTTGTTGGAAAGGTGGCATCCTTGATGGTGCCACGTTGAAAGGCACTGAGCTCTTCAGTAATGGCCATTCTACTGCCTATGTTTGTTCTATGGAGATTACATGGCTGTGTGCTCGATTTTATACACCTGTCGGCAACAGGTGTGGCTGAAATAGCCAATCCACTAAGTTTGAAGGGGTGTCCCACGTACTTTTGTGAATATTAGTGTATATTTATACAGTGGGGGAAAAGAAAAGTATTTAGATCAAGCCAACCAATTGTGCAAGTTCTCCCACTTAAAAAAGATGAGAGAGGCCTGTAATGTTTCAATCATAGGTACACGTCAACTATGACAGACAAAATGAGAAGAAGAAATCCAGAAAATCACATTGTAGGATTTTTTAATGAATTTATTTGCAAAATTATGGTGGAAAATAAGTATTTGGTCAATAACAAAAGTTTCTCAATACTTTGTTATATACCCTTTGTTGGCAATGACACAGGTCAAACGTTTTCTGTAAGTTTTCACACACTGTTGCTGGTATTTTGGCCCATTCCTCCATGCAGATCTCCTCCAGGCAGTGATGTTTTGGGGCTGTTCGCTGGGGCAACACAGACTTTCAAACTCCTCCAAAAGATTTTCTATGGGGTTGAGATCTGGAGACTGGCTAGGCCACTCCAGACCTTGAAATGCTTCTTACGAAGCACTCCTTCGTTGCCCGGGCGGTGTGTTTGGGATCATTGTCATGCTGAAAGACCCAGCCATGTTTCATCTACAAAGCCCTTGCTGATGGAAGAAGGTTTTTCACTCAAAATCTCACGATACATGGCCCCATTCATTCTTTCCTTCAAAGGTCATCGCCGGCCTTTGCAGAAAACAGCCCCAAAACAATGT